ATTGGGCAAATTTCCGAGAATCGAAGGTCGCCCGGGTCTGTTTCCCCCGAAATTAAACAAATTTCCGAAAGGGCGTCCCCCTGAACCAAAGGGTCGTCCCCCTGAGCCAAAGGGTCGTCCTCCTGAGCCACCAGGCCTATAACCCGAATTAGAAGACCCGAAAAGGCCGCCTCCATTGTTGTTGTAGTAGTTGTTGCCGCCACCGCCGCCGCCGCCGCCACCGCCGAATCCTTCGACCTGGAATGTGAGGGAAGTTCCGAATGGCCCCTGGAGGTGAAGATTCGTTCGCCCCCTGGCTTCTTTCGCTGGTTGAACTGCCGAGGCTCTGGAATTGTCTCCAACACGATGCGACTGGATTTGTTTCTCTTGTTGCCTTCTTTCAAGTCCGCGTGTTGGTGAGTTTGGAAATAGAAGAATGCTTACTCGATGCTCCATGACGGATTCTTCTCGATTTGCGAGTCCAGGTTTATTTTCTGAGAAAACGACGTCTTGTCCGACAACAAATCCCAGCAACGTCAAGAAGAAGAAGAACACTGGCTGCAACTGGGCACGAGGAAACATATGATTATTCGTGATTTTATTCAATTGATACATCTGAACTAACCCTGGTCTTCTCACAGGAATCCATCCCGAGAACGTATGCGGAAATTCTAGTATACTTCGAATGAGACTCTATTTTTTTTCTGAAATGTAATATGCTTCAAAATTGAAGTGATTTGAGCACTAAGACAAGAAAGGAGTGAGAATAGATTACAAAATGACTTGATGCAGGCAAATGCTTCTTGCACGATTTCTTTCTTGAAAGGGAAATTGCTCCAAAAAGTATTTTTTTCAACAGGAAATCTCACTGGAGCTCCTTTGCCTCTTCGAAACTTAAATTATCGTGTGAAATATTTTTCAAAACTGAATCAGTGTTTTTCAAACGTCTTTGAATGACTTGATTCATGTTTCATACAGGCATGAACCATGAAAGAGACACTAATATACTTGAAAAATGTTTTTTTATATTCGTAATACTGGAGTATGTCCCTTCAAGCTTATATTGATCTTACATATTTTCGCATTCTATTTAATTCGTCAAAAAATGATCATTTCACGTTTTTTCAGTCTATGGCTTCTCTAAAAAGAGTTTTGTTGAGTGTATGGATATGCCTGATTAGTTATCAAAGTGTTCAATTACTCCATACAATTTTCAAATAGTTAAGAGAAATAATATTCATCCAGAAAACTTGCATACGTCATTTTACATGCAGTTTACGGTTGGTTCTACCGAGTATAGTGGGATAGCATATTAAAGAGGATTTTTCTTTGTGTGAGAACAGTTGGATCAGAACATCGTTCTTATAATCTTTCACAATTTTTAGAGAGAAATAATCAATTAAGAGATTGTTTTTTCATGTTAATCGACAATCGAGAAGTTGATGAATCCAAGACTGTAGTTGAAAAAATGTTTAGAAGTATATTATTTACGCTTTGAGTCCATCGTGATTTTGCTCAGAAATTCGGGCAGCAGAAGAAAAGACTTTCAAAGTATAGTACTGACAATCTTCTGAAATATTGTGCATTTGTTGACAACTTACAATGAATGGAGAGGAGATCATCAATTCATCTCCGCATTCTGTAAGAGAAATTATAATTCAAAAAAGTTATTTATTTCTTCCTATGATGCTACGAAATCAAGGCCAGAAAATATCTGTTCAGCACGTCATGTCATCTATTTAAAATCAATTCCGCCAGAAAAGTTGGGAATCCAAAGAAAAGACATTCAGAATACTGTACCGACAATTTTCTGAAATATTTCCTTGCACATTTGTTCACAACTCCTAATAATGAAGAAGAGATCACCTAACTATTTCCGAATTTTATCGTATAAAAAAAAATTCCAAGACAGAAAACTAATTGATTTTCATCCATGATGGTATCGTATCAAGGCCAGAAAAGACCCGTTCACCACTTCATGACATCTACTAAAAATAATTCCACCAGGAAATGCGAAAAAATTAATTGCTGTCTTCAAAGGCCTTCTGAACCAGCTCCTCATGTGAAAACCGAAGGCGTTCATGGCTTGAATAACAGAACATCAAAAACACACACACACGTGGGGGAAAAACCTTGCTTCCTTCCTTCTTATGATGAGGGAAAAGCAGACACCAATCAACTGATTTGGAGAAGATTATTCTTGGAGGTGAACCGGGGCCTCGTCGTCAGGTGACTGCGGAGAGACAATCAAAGGGCCGGAAGCTTCTTGACAAAAAATTATTGTGTCGACAGCAGCGGAGTTCATAGACGATTACGTAGTAAGGCGTCGACCCTATGTCAAAGAAACCTTAACACAATTTAAGAAATCATTGCATCATTGGAAGCAGGAAGATGTCTGAACGAGTTTCCATCCGCCTCCGAGAACAAGGGCGGAACGGAAACGGGAGTGAAATCCACGGATTCGTTTCCATTTGCGGTCTTCTGCCTGATTTGGAAATTTTAGACTTCAGGAAGAAGGAGGAACAAATTGTCTTCGTCAACACTGCAGAAAAAACCCTTTAAACTTATCTTGACGAATGGATGTTCTTGGTCAGAAACATCCAAGAATTCATGCATAATAGGACTCCTCGAAAATAACAAAGACCTATATGTAATTATATAAAACTGACCCTGGTTTCAAACATTTGCAATGTTTCCAAAATTCTTCTATTGTGATCATCGTCTGAATGATATTTTTCAAAAGGCTTGAATTATAATATTTCACTTTTCTTCCATATGTTTGATCTCGGATTTATCGAAGTGTGCATAGGTGAAGTTTATTTGATGCACTTATAACCCTATATATTTTAATTTCCCCACATGTTATTGAGATTACTTTTAACACGTCATGTTCCGGATAGGAATGGAAAAGTAGAAATGTTTAGGATTTTGAGAGTATCAAAAAAAGCATGCGAAAGAAAGGAATTTTTGAGGCTTTTGATCAACTGAAACCATTTTCAAGTACATTATACGTATAGCCAGCAAGTAGTCATTTTGTTTTTAGTCCTATATTCTCTGTGAAGAAGATCAAAATGATGGAGTATCAGGATGTGCAATTCGATCCTGATTTTCATTTCTCTCAAGTCATCCCATCATTTTCGCAATGATGCACCATCAGATTTGATGATAATGTTCCCTTTGAAAAACACCTGTGATCTTGGCAATCTTCGTTTTGATACTGTATATGATGATGAATAAAGAAGCTGATATTGAATGTCAACCACATCAACAAAAACAAAAAGCATTGAAAATCAACGGCATCGGTTTACTATCTATGACGCTTTTCAAATCCAACATTGATTTGCCTTATTCTGAGTCTGGAACTCATGTATTGCTGGCGAATTTAACTTTGAAGCACGGGCTTAACAATATTTTCTGCAATTCTTCTTACTCATTCCCGCGAACCTCTAAAATAAAAAATACCGGAACCATCAGCTATATGTTTTTCAGAATTAATCATCTTTTCAAGATTGCAAGGCAAAATACGGATGTTAAAAATTGCAGGGATTTTTCCAGAAGTTTTTCGAAGAGTTATCGAATATCTTTTTAAATGAATTTTCACTCATTTTGAGGCAATTGAAGCTAATGTCCCTGCATTCAGAAAATTTGGAATAACTTAAACTAATGAAATGAAAGCCTTGGAATTCACGGAACATTTTAGTTTGAAATAGGAAGCGAAGAAAAATTTTAGTGAAACACAGCAAACGATCGTCCATCCAGTCAATGTGAATTAAGCCTCAATTCCCGGGGGTGGGGTGCATCATTTGTACTGTATTTTTAATTTACTGTAGAAATCATGTACCATGACACAGAATTTGAAGTTCAACACGAAAACACAGATGAGATGCAAGCAAATTAAAATATACAGGAACAAAACCAATCGCTGGGATTTCAAATTAACGAAAAATTCCATTTCAAAGGCTAGTGGATTCGGTATACAATATATATTGAATAAGTTTCCGCACGTCCATTAGTTTTACTAACACGGCTAGACCATGGGAAAAGTACAACGACACACTACTTGCCCTTTATCCTTATGTTATTAAAATGGCCTTTAACTTTGTCCAATTAAAAAAGTACTATCAGACAATAATTATGGCGGAGAAGCATTGGACCATGATTCCTTCTCATGTGCCGGTCAACCCGTGTGTCAATGCATTTTTTCTAAATTTTTCTATAAAAACCAGCCGGGATGCGTCTGATTTTTGCCACATTAACCGATCAGATTTGGTGAGAGAAACAAGTACATCCTAAAACCGAATACTTTTATCTATAATCCCACAATAATTGACGAAGTGCGTCTCTCACAATGAAGCTGGAAGTGTTTTTCAGGAAAAAAGTTCAGAGAAAGAGAAGAAAAGATAGTTGTGATGGAAAAATCAACCACCAAAATCGATTTTAGGATTTTTTAAATGCGCAAGTGCAAAAAGAGCCCTCGAAAATCTTTCGAATTGATTAAGTTTACTGCAGTCAAAGAGTTTAAAACTTTGAGTTTTCCCAAAAATGGAATACGCGGGTTTTACCCCATTATTTTTCCTCAATCTGGAACAGGGATTATTCAGATGACGAAATCTTCCCAAAATGTTCATGTTATTAAATTAAAATTTTATGGCTCGATATTCCTTTCAATGTAATGCACGTCGAACAGCGATTTGAGTAAAATTGGGAGAGGAAGAGTATTAAGAGACAGCGGAATTTAAATTCAGATATTACTGTACTGCCTTTAAAGCGAAATAGAACTTGACATTTTGAATTTTTGAGCGTGAAACATTTTAGGAAGCAATCAGGGACTGTACTTATTTAGAAAATATTCACAGGTGTTTTTAAATATTTTGCTTGAGGTTCTTGACGTAGCCTTTAGGAAAACACGACCCAATAATTGTTCGTGTTTTCCTTGAAAATAAAGCTGTGAACAAGATTCTAGAGTCGCAACGATTAATTTTGGAAAAATAATTACTCATTGCGTGCATCAAATATGCTACAGAACCTATTCATTTTGGAATCGTCCGGGGAAAAGGAAAAATCAGCTGTCTTTGGCCAAAATGCATTCCGTGAACTTTGAAAAAATTTTCCTGACTGTTGCAATTCTTGCACCGGTCGGAATTTTGGCTCAAACCTTGGAAGCTTCTTTGCCGCCGGGTTTCATGATTTGCGGAGACCAGATAATGGATCCCGCCAAGGGTTCGAAAGTTCGCTTCTGGTGGGGCTACCATGAAATGGACCCATCGAGACTGTTTTTCGTTGTCGCTGCGAAGGCCAAGGGTTACGTTGGCATCGGTTTCAACAATCGCGAACAAATGAAGGGCGCCGACATGGTTCTCGGTTGGATCACTTCTAACGGCACTGTTACATTTGAGGTGAGATTCCCAGAAATCAGTGTTGGTTTTTTAATCAATGTCTTTCTTCACATTCGGCTCGTTTTCTGAAAATTCAGAACGGCGTAGATTCGTGCAATATTCTCGAGTATTCGCTATAGGGCCTGAGTCAACTTAACGGGAGGTGAATTTGACCTTTTTAGAGGATGCTTCTGACAAACTTTTAGTCAATTACTAATCAGGTTCATTATACATGGTCAAGATTGCGAAGAGCACGTTTGTGGTAAAGAAACAAACACTGTATTCCTCCTGTCAAGACTCTCAAGAGTGATATGTTTCTATTTCGGTTGATACATTAGATTAGAAGAGGGTGATCCAGGAGCAGGAATTAATTTTCATGAAAATAAAACGTTAAACGAGGATTTACATTTTTAGACTGCATTCAAGGTTAATGAATACAAAATATTTGCGATAATGAGATTTATTCATACCAGTTCTTTTGTTGAGTTTCTGATGAGAGCAGACGAAATAATTTAAAAAAACAATGTTTGATACTCCCAAGGTATAGAAATTACCGTGTTAGGCCAACTTCCACATCCGAATTTCGATAGGACATCAGTCTTCGTCTGGTATCCAACAAAGAATTCACTTCATTTTTTCCGTCGTTTTCAAGCATCAGCAAGAATCCAAAGCATAAAATTTACAAGCAATAAATTTTAAAGATATATATTTTCATGGACTTTATTTTTACTGTGCTTGCCAACAATTCTGGAATAAATAACGGCGTAATGTTTTTTCCACTAACTTGTTTTTGATGATGAAGTCTTGATATTCAGATGCTTGTTCATTCGTCATCTATAGTTATGCTAATACCATTTTCAAAATTCTTGCACGGCATTTTTCCCTTTATCTTTTACTAATCATCTTGGTGTAGTTTTTTCTTGATGAAGTTTTACGAAAAATCCGCGTCGAAAAATGGGAAAAATTAACTTTTTATCATACAATAATTATATTGGCTGCTGCGAATCCCCTGCTTAATTTAACATTATTTCTCCACTTCCAGTATCGAAGCTCGTATAATCTATTTGATAATTAATTATGTAGCTAATCAGCATCGTGGAAATACGTAAATTTCCTTGTATTTCCGTCCGTCCATGAAAAATAGATTACCGGTAATTCATTGATTTTCGTCAATATTCAAAAGAAATATCACATGGAAGCAATTAATAAACCCATGCAAAATATTTAATGAGGCTATCATGAATGTCGCCGTGGGCGGGGTACCAATCGTTCGGTCCTATATATACCTGGGACTTTGAGGAAAGTCATGGTACCCATTTCGAAAATACCCTATAACTTCATGCACAATTTCAGGGGTCTTGTGCCATGGCGCCTGGCGCACATTCCTGAGGCTGGTGCCCAAATCCCCTTTTCTTCTTGAATGGTTCAACCAGCTTAATCCGTCTACTGACCACAACAGAAAATAAGCTAGTAGGAAACCATTCGGGACACCATAATTATGCTGTTCTTTTCCGTTTCTCGTCCCCATGTCGATGACAATGACGGAGTTTAGGATCGATTCGGAAGCACAGACTTTGCGTCACCCATCTTAGACAAAGAGCAGAACGTGAAGCTCGAGGTGGCCAAGGAAAATGCAACCCACACTTTGTTTGCTTGGACCCGACCTGCGAAAACATCCGACACCTCCGGCCAAGACTGGCAGATCAATGTAATTGTTAAAAAAAATCCGTTTTTTATGCACCGAATTTTCAATTTTTTGTTTGTGTTTTCTTACTCTCCAGAATGAGATGATAGAAGTTTTGTGGGCTTATACTGATGAAGATCCTATTGGAGCTCCAGCCATGCACACGGAGAGAGGACACATGAAGTTGAATCTCGTGGAAAAACATCCTACTTTGGGGAAACCTTGAGCGAAATAATAATATAGTAATCTATCCTCTGGCTTTATCCAGAAAACAATACTCAATTTTCCTGGAAATATGAGTGGCATAAGAATGCATTTCGAAAAGGAAGCTTATTTGAGCATGCAATAAATTCTTTTTAAGCATCAAAAATGTTGCATGATTTTACTCTCAGGACAGCAGTACCTGTAGTTAACAGTCAGTGTTGAATTGATCGGTTTCTTTTTTGTTTTCTTTTTCGCTGAGTATGTCCATTTTGAACCGCAAGATATTTTGATGGTTCCGATATTTTTGCACGGGCGAATTAGTTGAAATTTCAACGAAATGATTTTTCGACATACTGTATATCGTAGGCTTTAGTGGGTACCTTGAGATTTTCACACACCACTTCAATCTTTTACAAATGGGGAAATGTTCCTTGTGGGATGGTTGTTCGATAGCACAACTTGACTTTCCTTAGGTCAATCGATTGATTTATGCACAAGCCTTTATTTGCTACTTTTTGTCACTCCAAGTCCAAACCAACATATAAACAATTAGAAAAAAAGTTTGGGATGCACATTCGCTTTCGAGAAAAAACGCATTTGATGCATTCATCGGACATAAATCAATTCCGGCTCAGAATGTCGCTCTTCGTCGATATCAAGTCGGGTCAGTTCGATTTCCGGTTGGTTCTGGAGGTCTTGTCTGGAGAAGAGCGGAACCATATAAAAGAATCTGAAAATAAGCAGGAAATTTATTGCAAATGTAATCATCAGCAGTTCATCAATGAACGAATGACACGTGATCATTCTTTTTCTTATTTTATTCGACTTGTTTCATGAAAAATCCATCCATAGAAACTCATATGCTGTCCTCTATGAAAAATAGTCCGAAACCCATGGTCCACGAACCAGCGCCATCTGCAGAATTTTTTAGCAGTTCATGAGGAATTCGGCATGATAAATCATTTATTTAGCATTATAAATTTATCACAGGTAATAATGAAGTTTGTAATCTGTATCTGAAATTTTAAAATGACAATGGCAGTTGAAATTATCTGATGAAAAGTGAAAGTTGGCTTTTCTCCTATAATAGTATTGTGCATCAAACACATTCTAACCGGTTTAAAAACATATTTCAAATATCTATTCTGAAAGACCTCTCTTAAAGCCCAGCTTTCTAATTTTCGGAACACATTCCACTATAGCTGCTTCATTAGTCATTAACTTCAATTATAAAATAAAAGTTTGGTTGGTGGACTTTGTGTCTGATGATTGAAATATTTCTGCTGCGCTGCAAAAATTCTGGGGGACTTCGCAAGTCCACAGCAAGTTAATGTGAATTTGCTGGTAAACACGGGTCCATAAAGGTTGAGGACAACTACACAGGTCTATCCAACCTGCAATGAAATAAAATGCCACTTCTATGTTTCATCCCCAAAGTATAGATGTCACTCACTCCGACGGTCCTCGGATGTCGACTGTTTGAAGTCGCCTGTCGATGTCATCTCGAGGATTTACCGACATCATCTCAACCGCTGGCACAACGACAGAAATCACCTGCAATGCGAAGATTACACTGCCTGAAAAGCGCAGGTCGCATTTCATGTTTTCATGAGTACACGTATTTATTTCAGTGAAACATACACCCTAAAAATTGATAGGAAAAAGGGGGTGCGCATCATGGGCGGTGGCCCTTACATGAAAAAGTTTTAAAAGTTTAGGTGTGCATTATATTTCATTCAAATTAGAAATTTTGAACACATTTTGTCAAACTAATTCACTTTTATGTAAACAATGGAAAGCTAGTTGAATTCAGGTTCAAATCATGCCTATATTCAAATTTATGTGTTCTTATTTTTGAAATATTGAAGTACAGTATTAGATTTATTAAAATGGGGTGGGTGTCTTACTTGGGGATACAGTTGAATTAAAATTTAAACTGGAAAACATGGGTGTGTGCACTACATTACTTGAGGGTAACTGGTTCTTGAGTAAATATGTTAACACATGATGAAGTAGTGTACTAGTGTACTACACAGTACAACTAGCAGCAGTATTGTGCAGTAATTGCAACACAAATGCTTCGAATTTTCCCCTGATTAATCAAATGTCACGCAGTAACTTGAGTACGCTAATTTGTTTTTATTCTTCTTACAAGAAAATGTCTGTGAAAGAGTATTCATTAACTGGGTTCCAAACAGGAAGACTCAAGTTTTTTTCACTTTCTGGAGAACAAGGCTGAGCCCAGGTTTTGATTATCCTCATCCAAAAGCATTCATTTACAGAGGAAAAATGGGCTCAGCTCATATGCACCCTTATTTTGTAAGCAAACATTCCTATTTTCAAACATTTTTTACTTCAAGTGGAGATTTGCATTGCAATAGCATTATTCGAATATAAATTTCATAAATTACATTGAACTTTTTTCATGGAGTAAAATACTTGATCGTCTGTGATGTAATTTACTAACTGATCTTGCTTTTGGTAAAAGTAAACCATTACTAATTGCATTAGCTAAATATTCTGAAATGCCTGCGGTATATATGATACCAAATATCTCTTTTGACAAAATCATGGCTTTTAATATAGAATCATCACATTTTCAAGGGTATTTAAGTGGTGTTATTTCTTCAGTATAAATACATTTGTTAATACATTGCCATCAGAGCACCTTCTTTTCTTATGCCCAGCCATAGCTTATGCACAGCTAAAAGAATGAGCTTCAAAAATATTTGGGACTCTTGCAATTCAATGCAAAGACTCTTTCTAAAATCTTAGAAGGCCCAGATAAATTGATAACTTTATAAAATTTATCCTCAAAGATTCTCTCCAAATTGTTTAATCAACTAAAACTTATTTGGGATATAGGCTGAACACCTTGTGTTTTAATTTTGGTTCAATAATTGCCTTGATATGCTGTAATTTGTATTACTGAGATTGTATTTTGCTATTGGGGAGGGGATGAAAGTGTATGCATTCGCATCAGTTGAGCAACTGTACATTCTGGGATGTATTTTCATCTTTTTTTAACACTTGAGCTACGGTGCTGGGATTTATCTTTGAAATTTTGTGCCCCAAGGAGTAGAAAGAAGGGGGAACAAAAATGGTTGGAGCAGCCAAAGTTGAGAAAACCCAAATTGTTTTGCATTCCTGCATAAAAATGTGCAAGAAAAAAAGAAAGAAAATTGCTGTTATGGGTGGCATTTTTTGCATTCCCGCCAGCGTTGGATTATTATTATTGGGGGATTAGCAGGACAAAGACTTTATTTTTTTTCGAATTTTTCCCAACTTTGGCCACTCAGCCAAATCTGCATTTTGGTGACCTTTGGTCAAACCAAAATGCAGGAGCATCCAAAAAAATCCTGGCACCACTGCATGATGGAAAAGAACCCACAACTGCCCAAGGTTTAATATCCATATGCAGCTTACTTCTCCATTTTCCATCATGATGTGATGGAAATCGTGTCCGGTCAGCCGCCAGCCATTCAATTCACGGTCACGCATCCGCCAGCCGGCAACCGCTGGTCCCTCCAACCGCCAGCCGGGGCAGTAGTTGGTCTGCAGAATCCCCAGCCCACCAAACCACGGTCCGGTCACCCGATTGTCGGGGCACCCAGAGGCCCCTTACAATCCCTGGTCAGTTGAATCTTGGCTCTAAAATCATGATCTCCCAGCACATAGGAGATCAAATAATGTTCATCATGTACTTTCCCAAAAAAAAAAGTGAAAAAAAATTTCAAAAAAAAAAAAATTTTGTGAAATCTCGGGTGCTGGGCGCAGAATTATTTCGCACAAAATTTCAAATTGCCTGGCTTTTCTTACATTTGCCACACACTTTATTATCAATTTCCAGGTTCAAGATTAAAAGTAAAATTGGCAATGGCCATAGTTTCAAAAATTTCAAAATTCTATATTTCTTCAGGCATCAGTGAAAACCACTAGTCATTGACACATACTATTTGTTGGCAGGACTTGTTCATGCACAACTTATTTATTTATATGTCATCTTATATACAGGTGATATTTTCTTGTTAGAATGATGTCATTTGTGTAAAACACGTCTCTGAATTAAATATAATTTTCTCGATTCACTTGGGTACAATGTGGTCTTCAATTTTTCAGATTTTAAATTTCTTAGCAAAATTATTGTCCCAAAATTGTTTTCACGCAATGTTAGAAAGAAAATCAAAGAAATGCGTACAACTTATTTTTTTCTTCAATTTTTCAGCTCTAAAAATTTTCAACTTTTTCAAATTTTTAGCCAAAAAATTTTAGTGGTGCATATTTTATTCTGAACGATTTGCGCCCTGATGCCTCTGGTCAGAAGCCGCTGTTTGCATTTTCCATGGATAACCTTTTCCCCGCAAATAATTCTCTGCCCAGCACCCGGGATTTCATGATTTTTTTTTTTTAATTTTTTTTATTTATTTTTGTTGGGAAAGTACATGATGAACATTATTTGATCTCCTATGTGCTGGGAGATCATGATTTTAGAGCCAAGATTCAACTGACCGGGGATTGTAAGAGGCCTGTGGGTGCCCCGACAACCGGGTGACCGGACCGTGGTTTGGTGGGCTGGGGATTCCGCAGACCAACTACTGCCCCGGCTGGCGGTTGGAGGGACCAGCGGTTGCCGGCTGGCGGATGCGCGACCGTGAATTGAATGGCTGGCGGCTGACCCGGTACCAATGGAAATATGGAAAGTACTGTAATTGGATGAATGTATGTGGGGAGGGGAGGGGGTTTGGATTTGGGAACATTGCTTGAACCTTGTGAATGCTGCAAAACAGAAAATAAAGCTTGCTGATCAATCAATCAATCAATCTGTGATCTTTGATTAACCAAGCACACAAGGCACCCAGATTTATGTATTTAGTCATTTCATTGTATAGGCAGAGTTGTAAACTGAACTCTTCTCTACTTGGTGTGACCTTGCCGTCATTTGAACTAGATTTAAATTAAACACTGTACTGTACACTGTTCAACGGGTGCCCCAAGATATGGACGTATGTAAGGAGGGCATAATATGCAGTGGCGTGATCTTCATAGAGAAAAAAAAAAAAAGTATGCTGGGACTCCACTCTGTTCACTCCACACTAGGAAGTGATACCACGGATGGATTCAAAACGAATGCCTCACCAGCACAGTGGTGAAGAAAGCAGCCAAGCTGAGGTGCGACAGTGCCATGCTGGTGCTTGATTGCCTCCTCGACAGTGCAAATAACCAACAATAGAATGGAGAATGATATTTTTGTGCCAGAATTCACGCGGTGAAAAACGGCGGGTATACAGGCAACAAGATCAAGGGTTTGGTGTTGTTACTGTATTTGGTTTTCCGTCAGGACGGCAACCAGCAGACTGACAAGAAACCCACTCGATGGCAACGATGATCCATAAAGTGGCGGTCTTTTTGTCAGGTGCACTGACCTTTTGGACAGGACTGGACCCGCCGTCTAGCTGTCCAATGACCCAGAAAGAAAATTCCTTCGACACTCCTCTTCATTCTCCTAATCATCATAATCCTGCGGACCTTTACAAACTTCTGATGTTGTTTCGTTGAACGATAAGCTATGAAGTTCAATCACAAGCATTCCAGAAAAAATAATGAAGGCTACTACGTGTAAAAAACGTGGTTCTTCCCGAATTTTTCGTTATCGAGGATCAACACGTTCCGGATAACAACCTTGTCTGCCGGTTCATCGGATAGAAACACCACCGCATCCCAGAAAAACCGTTTCAGAGAATTTCTGCTCACCGTCATTGATGAAATGAAATGAAAACCCCCCTTCCATAGCATGATTTCAGAAAAAAAACGTGTTTCCCAGAAAGCGAACTCTTTGAACTATAGGAATACATCATCAATTGAGCTTTGTTGCGTCAGTCTAGATGTCGTCTATTAAAATGATTTAGTGACCTCGTAGCTCATATTTTGTTCTTCCACCTACAAAATTAAAATCATTTGGACTTTAAAGTTGCTTGAAGAAAACCTGTAGGGAGGCTTTTCTCTGTCCTAAAGGCAACAACAAATAATTTTGGACTGTGAAATATCATATTTACTCAAGTACCACACACACCTTTTTTCTCAATTTTCAGAAGAAAAAAAGCAGTGCATGTCATAAGCAGGTACAAATTTTTCAAGAAGTTTTAGGAAGTTAACACACGTAATATAAATTACTATTACCTCTTTAAACCTTGTTTACATTGTTCTTTTGAAAAAACATGACTTACGTTGAAAATTGATCAGATTTTTGTTCAATTCATGCCTAAAGTTAAATTTTTTGTTCCTATTTTCAAAATTTGGTGGTTTTAGATTCACTGTAAAGTAGGGTGCATGTCTTACTTGGGGATAAGATTTTAGCAAAATTTCCAACTGAAAAACCCCTGTGCGCGTCTTACTTGAGGGCATGTGGTACTTGAGTAAATACAGTATTAAGAGATAACTTCAGCATTTTGCATATGCAATTGAAAAGTAACCAGAGTTTAAGAAATAAAACCTGAGTCTGGGTTGCTGATGGAGGACAGATCAATCACTTCCTCCAGGAACAACCTTAAGTGACTTGACAAACTCATAGTCTGGCTATAATGCCCGAAAATTATTGGACACAGCGTAAAATATGACGATACGAATTTATGTAAAAATAAACTTTTTTAAATTTGTGAGTTAAAACGAAGAATGGCAAAATGTTTGGCAATTGCTCAAGCTTAAATAATGTTTCCTGACTCATGAGTGTAATCATCCCATTTCTCAAGCTTGAGATATTTAATAGCATACACGGCAGTTAAATTTTTTTTAAACTTTTTTCTTGCCATTCTGAAGAGAACCACGGATGCATAGGGTGAAATATTTGAAAAAGTGGGAGAGGAAACATATACTTTATGAATAGGGGTGTAATTTCGTTTCAACCTCATCACGGGAACAGAAAAACAATGTTCGCAGAAGAATAAAAGTCTTTCGTCATCCGTTTTGATTCGTTTATTGTACTTCATATGATAGAATACGGTTTGAGGAAGTTAGAAACACTTTTCCACGCCAGGTCGTCAGCACATAACAAGTGAAAACAGTAAAAAAAAAAAAA